GGGGGGGGGGCGAGCGGGCGTGGTACCCGGGGAGAGCGGGGAGCTGCTGTGGCGGCTGCTGAAGGGCTGTGGTGCCGTGGGGAGGTAGGCGAGGCGGTCGATGGTGGCGGTGGGGGTGCCTGCGGGTGGCACCAGCACGGGCAGGTGTGGCACTTGTGACAGGTCGATGATGCCTGTGGGGAGTCAGAAGCGGTTGGAACCAGTGTGCCCTTTCTGCCAGTGCTCCTCCCTGAGCTCTGCTCCCTGCCCCCCCCCGCACGGCTTTTGGGGTGCTTCCTGTGGCTGACACGCCACGCTGCCGGACAGGCCCTGCGTCCCCTGGCCAGCACCCGGCTACTCCTCCGCTCTCCGGATGGCGCTCTGCCAGGCTGTCTGAGCACTGAGCATGCACGCCGCCGTGTCAGGAAGACTGCCTCCAGCCACCCCATGGCCCATGTGCCTGCCCACCCACCTCGCGGACCCGTGGCGTAGTTGAGGGCCAGCGAGGACTCGCGGGGTGAGAGCCCGCGCAGCGCGTCGGCCCGCTGGGCCATGGCGGACGCGGCGTTGTGGTGCATCTGTTGCGAGGTGATGTAGTCGTTGATGATGGTCTGGCGGTTCTCCAGCGCCGCGCTGTCGGGGTAGCCGCGGAGGAGGTACGGCGGGTACAGGTGGGGGTACGTGGGGTTGGGGGCCAGGTGCCGGGGCAGGTAATAGGCAGCGGCTGTGAGAGGGGGAGCAAAGGTCAGGCGGGCCCACGCTGCCTCCACCGGTTCCAGACCCCACTGTGCCCCACCGCTTCCCCAAAAATGGAACCCAAGGTCCAGAAGCTGACATAGATTTGCTGCACATGCGCACACGCACGTGCACACACGCACATACGTGCCTGTACACACACACACAGCCGTGGTTCCCACACGGCAACCCTGCAGCTCTGCCTAACCACACCCAGCCGTTCACCACAGACACAGACCCGACCAGACACGTGGACCAGAGAGGCGGCGGCGGCAAGGCGCCGGTCCCCCGCGCCGGCTCCCGGCACTCACCGGCATCCAGGGGGATCCCACGGGGGATGGAGGTGGGGTCGAAGGCCAGGGGCAGGTGACCGCGGTACAGGTCCACGCCGCGGAGCAGGTGCTCGTACGGGGAGATGGGGTGGGGGTGGTGCTCCGGCACCGTGCTGTGTGGGGATTTGGTGAGCTCGCGAGGCGCCGACGTCAGCTTGCGGTCCGGGGCCGCCTTGCTGGACAAGAGGCTGCCTGTGGGGACAGGCAGGGTGTCAGGGTGGCTCAGCCCTGCTCTGGCAGCCTGGGTGGCGCTGAGGATCGCTGGGTCTCTGGGAGCCTTGGAAGTCCCAGGGTGCCTCTCCTTCCCAGCTCCCGCTTACTCATTCAAGCCAGTCCCTTCCGGAAAGATCCACTTGTTCACTTGCTTATTCGCTCAAAGTTCATGCCCCATACCAGTGGTAAATATTTATGCCAACTGCTGCTCTGAGAGGTGGGGTCACCCCAAAGAAGAGCAAAGGACCCCAAGCCTGGCCCGCTGACGCTAAGGCAAAAGGATAGTACAGGAGGCTGCAAGGTGACAGACTGAGGGAAGAGGCCACTGTCACAGGACGTGACTGGGACAGGGCAGGGCTGCGGGGTCTGCGTGGGGGCGTGGGAGGTGGGCGGAAGCTGCCTGCACGTGTCTGGTGCAGAGCGAGCGGAAGGTGGTGGAGGAGGAGGATGGCGGGCTGGCAGGTGTGGGAAGCCCGTGGGGGGCGGGGGAGGACTTCCCTGTGTGTGGGGTGGCGGGCGTGGGGAGCTGGCAAGGGGTGCGGCGGGGTGCGGTGGGGCCCGGCGGGGCGGGCGACCTCCCGCGGCCCCTGCAGCCCACTCACCCTCCTGCAGGCGCGGGGTGGGCTCCCTTGTGGTCACAGGTGAGCCACGTGGCAGGTGGCTGGTGAAGGGCGCTGTGTGATCCTCGTAGGTCAGTGGGCTCTGGCGTGGCTTGCCCAGCTCGGGCACAGGTGCCCCGCGGGCGAGGGAGCCCCCGGTGCCGGCAGCGGCCCCTGGGCGGCTCTTGAGGCTCTCCTCGAAGCAGGCGCGCTCCAGCGCCCGGGCGTCGGCCATGACATCGAGCGGGTGCGCAGACGGGAAGGTGCGGCCGGGGCTGCCGATGATGGAGCGCACATCGTGCTTCTTGGAGCCCACGGAGGAGGCGCTGGTGTCGTACTTGAGTGGGGTTCCCTGTGGGGGAACAGCGGGCGCTGGCCGTGACACAAGCTGAGCCCAGCCCACGACCTCTGCCACGTCCCCCCCACACACAGGGCAGAGGCAGCCAGGCCAGGCCCTGGCGGCGGCATCTCCTGACATGGGGGCCGGCCCGCCCCTCCGTGGCCCTGCCCCAGGCTGCGGCGTCTGGCCTCGGCCTGTTCTGGTGCTGCTTGCAGCGCAGCCGAGCTCTGGACGCAGCACCGATGCAGATGCTGTGCCGCTGCCGACCTCTGCTCAGCACCATGAGCCGCGGGAGGCCCAAGATTTTCCAAAAAATAGTCTGGAATCAGCCTGCCCCACGCGGACGCGGTCTCAGGCTCCACGGCTGAGCCGACCCAAGCGGGGGTCCTCTGGCCACGCCTCACCTGCGTGATGGAGCCCTCCTTCAGCGGCCGTGGAGCCAGCGGCAGCTCGGGCGTGCGCCGCAGCTCCTCGCGGGGGATCTCGTGGATGGACCGGCCCGCTTCCTTCACGGTGGCCACCAGGCCCTCGTGGCTGGGCTTCAGCTTCAGGGTCCCCAGGGGCTTGTAGGAAGACTCGGGCAGATCCCGCGGGGGTGGTGTCCCCTCGCGCTTCAGGAGCTTGGCCTCGCGCCGCAGGTAATCCTCCTGCGCCTCCATGTATGTGCGCGGGGTCCCTGCGGGGACACGCACCTCAGCCTGCACCCTCCCGCCCAGCCCACCACGGGGACAGCGTCACCTCAGCCTGCACCCTCCCGCCCAGCCCACCACGGGGACAGCATCACCTCAGCCTGCACCCCTCCCGCCCAGCCCACCACGGGGACACGCACCTCAGCCTGCACCCTCCCGCCCAGCCCACCACGGGGACAGCGTCACCTCAGCCTGCACCCTCCCGCCCAGCCCACCACGGGGACAGCGTCACCTCAGCCTGCACCCTCCCGCCCAGCCCACCACGGGGACAGCGTCACCTCAGCCTGCACCCTCCCGCCCAGCCCCACCACGGGGACACACACCTCAGCCTGCACCCCTCCCGCCCAGCCCACCACGGGGACAGCGTCACCTCAGCCTGCACCCTCCCGCCCAGCCCACCACGGGGACAGCATCACCTCAGCCTGCACCCCTCCCGCCCAGCCCACCACGGGGACAGCGTCACCGGGCTGGCCCACCAGCAGAGCCCCGCACGCGGCCGTGGGTGCTGTGTCCACGCAGTGCCGCACCAGGGCGGGCCAGGCACTCAGCGGATCCCGAACACCACCCGGTTAGCACGGCGGGTCCTCCACGGCCCTGCGCGGGGTCCCTCCACACGCCCCGCGCCTGGGCGCCGCGGCAGGTGGGTACCTTGTGTGATGGAGCCTCGGATGTGGTGCTGCTCCTTGAGATGGTGCGGGCTGTGCCGCTCAGAGGGGATGGCGCGGCCCATGAGTCCTGGGGGCAGGGGCAGGGGTCACCGCACAGAGGTGGACACAGACACCCACACAAGGCCCCACGCTCTGAACCTCACGTCGCACCCACAGATAAGACTGAGCCTCAGGAGAGCCAGCTGTAAAGTGGGGTCAGACGGGCCCCTGCCTCCTCCAGGAGCTGAACCCCCGCTTCCAGGGAAGCTGGCCCCCAGGGCGGGGTGGGGCGGGGCGGGGCGGGACGCACCCTCGATGCTGGCCGAGGAGACGGCCCTGCTCGCACGGCCCTCCATCATGTCGTAGGTGCGCTTGGGGCCGGCCGTCTCGTGCGGTGGGTTCGAGCCGCTCCTGCCTTCCTCCTTGGAGCACTGGGCCCCAGATAGGCTACCTGGGAACCAGACGACGGGTGACGGGAGCCCAGGCAGCGGGGGCCCAAGGGACCAGAGGATGGGAGTGACGGGAGGGGGGGGAGGGCATTCCCAGGGTGGCCAAGGCCTGCTATGCCCAATTCCATGGGGGCAGCACAGCCAGGTGACCCCAGGGAGCTAGCGTGGGCTGGGCAGGAGGGGAGCCCACGCCCTGCCAGGGCACGCACCCTCGTAAGACAGGACGTGGCCCTTCTTGCCCTCGTAGATGACGTGGCCTTTGATTGGGGTGTCCTCGCGGGCCCGGTCCAGCCGGCTCGGGCTGTCCTCCCCGATGATCCGGGTGATGGTCCCTTTGTACAGAACATCGGCCGGGGTGCCCTGCAGGGGCAGCAGGGGTGAGCGCCAGGGCCGGCGGCAGGGCGCCTCATGCACCTCAAGTCCCTGCCCCTCACTAGACAGCATGGCCCTGTCACCCAGCCGCACTTCCTGCCGTCACCGCCCTGCGCCTCCGTGGGGCCCGGACACCTACGTGGGTGATGGAGCCGCGGTAGGAGCTGGGGCTGTCTGTGGGCACCCGCGGCCCAGGGAGGCCTTTGCTGATGCTCCCGCCAGGAGCTGAGCCCAGGGCTGTCCCTGGAAGACACAAGACCGGGCTCAGAGCCCCCACCGCTCCTGCCCTGTCCATGTGGGGAGATGGGTGCCCCCTCTTTATAGGGAGATGGCACCCGGCCACTCCACCGCTCCACGCAGCTGGTGGGGCTGGGGACTGGAGGCAGGAGGCAGCCCGGGGCCCGCAGCAGCAGGGCCTCACCTCTTAGCACAGACGTCTCCTGAGCCGTGGGCACTCCAAGACTTTCGGGGGGGCCGGCCTGGCCTCGTGGGGACAGCTGCTCTTGCTTCACACTGCTGAAAGGTGCTGAGGGCCACAGGAAGGGTGAGCAAGGGCGTCTGTGCCCGCCCCACGTGGGCAGGCTGGGCCTGCCAGGATGAGGGCTCATGCCCTCCCCGAGCCCAGGGGCTAACCCCCCCCCAGCACCATCCCCACCCCAGGGGATGCGGCTGTCCTCACCCAGCTTCTTGGGGTCCATAGTGGCGGGCAGCCCCACGGTGACAGGACCCACTGGGGCCTTGGCGTGCTCCGAGTATGGGACGTGGAGCTGGACCGACATGCCCTGCAGGGCAGAGGCGTGGGGGTCACCGGAGCCAAGGCCCTGGGGTCAGGTGTGTGACCCGGGCAGGCCAACGCTTCCCCCGATCCCCATCCCCTCAGCCGTGTGCGTGGTGGCACAGAAGGTTCTGGGAGGGGAGGGTAAGGGAGTGGGGGGGCAGCGGCGAGCCGGCCCGTGTGCCCCAGGGACACCCGCGCCGAGTGAGAAGCTGCCTTCGCCCCGCAGGCAGCTGGCGGCCCGGCCGGGGGGGCTCACCTGGGAGATGGCGCCCATCTGCCGCTCGAGAAGGCTGGGGTGCTTGGTGGAGGAGATGAGGGGTGGTGGGTTGGAGATAGCGGGGGCACGTGGCAGCACGGGCCTGGCACCGTCGTGGAGGCCCAGGGGCAGCGCGTGACCTGGGGGGCACATGGAGGCCTGAGCACACGATGGCGCAGGGCACAGGCGGTCCCACACTGCCTTCCTCGGGCCCTGAGCCTCCGGAGGCGGGCGGGGCGGGGCGGGGTGAAGGGCGGCCAGGGTGGGGTGAGGGGTGGCCGGGGTGGGGTGAGGGGTGGTCAGGGCAGGGTGAAAGGCAGCTGGGGTGTGGAGAGACGCTCCCCCTCCCCCATCCCCACCCCCTCCCCGCGGCTCACCAGGAGGTGCATAGGAGAAGGCAGAGGGGTCAGCGGCGTGTGGAGAGGCTCTGATCACCTCGCGAGGCGGCATGGGGAAGGGCAGGCCTGACGTCCAGCGCGGGGGCTCAGTGGGCAGCTTCGGGCCCTCGGCGGGGAAGGCTGGGAAGAATGCAGGCTTCTCTGCGGAGGGACAGGGGTGGATGCGGTCAGGGGAGGGCCAGCCTGCTCCGCCTGCAGAGCGGCAGAAGGCGGGACTTGGTGGGGCCTCCGATGGCTGTGCCCTCCAGGAAGCCCCTGCCCGCTGCGGGATCCCGGGACGCCTGCTGAGCGTGGGGTGGGCAGGGCGGAGGGTTCTCTGGCCATGGGGTCCCTGCAGAGGACACGCACCAGCGCCCGGGAACGCCCTCCATTCGCTTTGCGAGTTCTCTGTGTGAGGCCAGCGCCTCCGTTACTGGCATGGCCGGTCAAGGCCCCCGGCGCCCACGGGGTTGCTGACTGGGAGTGGCGGGAGTGCGGGAGGCGGTGGCCAAGAGCAAGCCTCCCGGTGACCGCTATCGCCTGGGACCACCTGCCCAGCCCACCAGGCTCGCCGTGCAGTGGAGCCGGGCTGAGGCCAGGCGACCTGTGGCTGCAGCCAACGCAGGCCACGTGGCCACGGGCAGCACGGGGGCCGGACGCTCTCGTGCAGCCTCCAGCCCCTTCTAGGCCCCTGTGAGCGAGGCGGCCCCGGCGGGCAGAGGGAGGCGGGTTCCCGCGCCCCTTCATGGCTGTGTGTTTCCCACGGCCCACAAGTGCAGCAGCGCGTGACCTTCACGGCTCAGGTCTGGGGAGTGGGGCCAGCACCAACCCTCGGGGAGACCCTGAGGACGGCAGCAGGGCGCTAAGGCCAGCTAGCCATGCCTGCTCCCGAGACTCAGCTCTGACGTGCGGCCTGGCGCGTGTGGACCCCCGTCCTCACCAGACCCCAAGGAGCAGGAAGGTCCGGCTACTGCCCTAGCCCCATGTGCGCCGCTGCCTTGGCTGGCCAGGCTCTCGGGCCGGGGCTGGGTGGAAATCTGGGGCCAGGCCAGGCAGGTGGCGGAGGCTGGAGAGACAGCTTGTTCCTCCGGCCGTTCCCGGGGGAGCCAAGGAACGGGCCAGACCCAACAGCTGTGTGTAGGGGGAGGGGGAGGCTGCTTCCTGAGGCCAGAAGGTCGTTCGGGGTGTGGAGCGGCCCCAGGGCTGTGCATCTAGGAACCGGTGGGGCCCCTCCCGCTCCCTGGTCCTGTGAGCCGGCCAGGGCCCCTGGCCCTTACTCAGCGCTGACCCACCATAGCTGTCCAGTCCCAACAGGGAGCAGCCCCCCCCAGCCGCAAGGCCCCCACTGTGCCCCGCCAGTCACCACACACCTGACCCTGCGCACCTCTGCAGACACCAGCGCCCACCCCTGCCTCTGCCCCAGCCCGGGGTGAATCCACGACTCCCCAGTCCGACGCATTCCCGTGCGCGGGTCTGAGATGGCCGCCAGCCCTCACGGTCTGTTTCTCCAGCTCCCTCTGACCTTCTCCTTCTGCAGCTGTAGCTAGCCCCGGGCAGCTTCCTCCGATGCCCACACGTTCCCCCACATGTTCCCGCCCCAGGGCCTTTAGGTGTGCTGTTCCTGCCACCCTGATGCCCTTCCCCACTCCCACACCAGCTCCGCCCAGACTCCAGCATCCCCACCACCGGGTGTGACCAGACGCCCGGGGCAGGGGTCCTCGGCTGTCCTCTGTGGCCGCCAGGCTCCTGTCACCCGCGACCTGGGAGCCAGCTCCGCTTCCCGCCGCAGGGTGAGGCCGGGAGCTGGGGGAGGCCCTGCTTTGGACGACCCTGCTCGGTTGGGGACAGCACCCACTCCTGCCCCCCAGGTCACACGTGGGCCTGAGCTTGCAGCAAGAGGGAGCCAGGGCCTCCGCCCTCGAGGAAACCCATGTTCCCCAAGCAGACAGAAGCGGGCCTGCGCTGGGCGCTCTCCCTGGGGAGCAGCGTGAGGGTGAGAGCCCGCGGGGGCTGCCGGGCTCCGGCCTGCGCAGCGCCAGCCTCCAGGCCACCTTGGCGGGCGGCGGCCCCGCCACTCACCCTCCTTGTCGGTGGGGGGCGCAGGGCTCCTGCTCTTGCCCCGAGGGCTGCTGCTGGCTGGCAGGGATGAGTCGCTCTCGGGCTGCAGGTGTGGTGGGGGCGGAGGGGCGGGCGGAGCCGGCTTTGGGGGTGCCGAGTCCTCCCGGGAGGTCTCGTGGGCCTTGGTGACCTGTGAGGAGCAGAGGCAGTGAACAAGCAGTGGTTTGGGCACTGGAGGGAACAGTTGGTGGCAGCCATGTGTCCAGCCTGTAGCCGGGAGGGGTCTGCCCAGGGCCCAGCCTGGCATCTCTTCGGTAGCAGCACCACTGAGTGGGGGGGGGGCTTCTAGGGCCCCCTCCTGGCCAGGGGGCTGTGACAGCGTAGGGGCTTCCAGCCGCCCCACTGGGGTCAGGAGAGCCCGTGGAGGGCAGCGTCCTTTGCCAGGCGAGGTCAGGGGGGAGGTTGGGGGGAGGTTGGGGGGAGGGCTGGGCCCAGGGGAGCCTCAGTCACAACACACTCACGATTGGGGGGATGGCGGCCGCTCGCTGCTTCAGCTGTTTCAGGTCCAGTGGCTTCTGGGGTGACACGTTGGCCCTGGGGTCGCCTGCCGGGGTGAGGAGGCTGGGTCTTGGGGACAGCAGCCTGAGGGGAAATGAGGGTCAGGCAGGGTGGGGCTCGGGGCAGCCACAGCTCCCCGTGGACTCTCCCGAAGACTGCTGTCTACACCCCTGGCCTCCTGCTTCAAGCCCTGGATGGTAGAACCTTCCAGAAAGGCCCTGGGAGGGTCACTCAGTCACAGCCAGCGGTCCTGACTGGCGCACACAGGCTGAGCCCCCCTGGCCCACGCACGCCTGGGTGGCCACAGGCACTGCCACGGTCCACAGCCCGAGACAGCCCCGCAGGGCGGAGGGCCAAAGCCTCAGCCACATTAATGGACCATCATGGGGCTGATCTGTTGCCAAGCCAGGGGTCGGCTGGGTGCTGGGCAGAGCCGGGCAGGGCCGAGAGCAAGCTCCGCTCCAGGGGCCGCCCCGTGCGGGGAGGAGCGCGGGGCACACGGCCTCAAGCGGTCCTCCAGCCTCTGCTCAGCCGCCAGCCACCGGGGCCCGTGGGCTCCCGACCTGCCCGCCGGTGGCTGCTTCCAAGACACCAGAGCAGCTGCCTGCTCATGGCCCTGTTGGCGCGCAGCCTCCAGAGCACCCAGCACAGGCTGAGGGGCGGGCCTAGCTAGGAGTGCCTGTAGACCCAGCTGGTGGCTCTGCCTGGGGACGGAGCAGGGCTAAAGGACCTCACGGCCTGAGCGGGTCCCAGAGGGTGCCTGGCACGGCTCCGTGTGGACCAGCAGGCCGCAGGTGGAGGCCTGGCCGCCACAGCTGCTCTAGCCCTGTGGTGGCGGCCTCTGTGCACATGCCGGGGAGGGGCCACAGCCCGGGTGCCAGGCATCTGCAGGAAACCACGTCCCGGGGAGAGGAGGCACGGTGCTGCCACCGCAGGCCAGGACGGCGGAGCGGGTACTGCCGTGCAGCCCACGCCACCTCCCAGCCCTCCAATCCATCCTTTCAGGAGAAAGAGACTCCATGCGCTTCTGTGGAAGTCAGGACCCGGGAAGGTCTGTGCAGGCGGAGGGGAGCGAGCCTCCCCAGCACCGCCACGCCCGCGCCCGGCGGCCTCTCCTGCTCGCAGAGCAGAGCAGCCACGCAGGAACACACACGGCCCTCACACAGGGCACACGAAGGCTGGAGACCCGCCCTGCGGGGCAGCCTCCACCTCCAGGCAGGAGGGCTGGGCTGGGCCACGGGTTAGCCGCCCAGCTCGGGCTGTCTGCCGGATGGACTCCAGCAGAGTGGCAGGTGAAGGGGGACAGGCAGGGGGAGGGTGTCACCCGGGCGCCTGGTCCGGCCCCGTGGGGAGGCACGGGAGTGAGTGGGTGGGCTCTGGCACATCCTGCCGGTGTCCCCCGTGCAGGCTCTGTGTGGTCATGGCTGGCAGAGGGAGAGGTGGCGGCTGCCAAACAGGAAGTGGTCAGCAGGCTGGCCTACGTCCAGCCTCTTTCCTGGGAGGGTAGGGCAGGCCCTGAGAGTAGGTAACCAGCCAGGTGTCCCCAGCCCCAGCCTGGGGGCTGAGGACGGACAGGCCCTGCGGGCAGGGCAGCGGCCCGGAGGACTGGGCTCAGAGCCCGAGCAACTCTGCCTCCGGGTCTGCTCAGCCAGCAGAAGTGGGGTGCTGGGCCCAGGCTGGAGCCAGAGGGGCACACAGGGTGCCCGGCAGCTCGGGCACCCAGGGCTGAGGAAGGTGTGGATCAGATCCCCATCCTCACAGCCCGAGGAGCGGCGGCGGCCTGGGTCAGAGCCGCTCACCTGGTCTCCGTGTCCCGAGAGACTCAGAAACGGCCCGCCATATGGTCAAACCACCAGAGCGGTGATGGCCGGCCTGGCGAGGCAGGGCCTGGGTGCCAGGGAGGCCCTACCTCGGAGGGGGAGCTGGCACTCTGGACTGGGGCGGGGGCTCTCGTGTTTGGAGAAGGACGCCTCACACAGAGCCCCGTCAGTCACCTGGCCCAGGAAGCCTGCTGCACCCTACAAAGCGGGTGGCACCAGGCCTCAAGCACTTGAGCCCTTGCCTGGCAAAAGAGCCCCCCACCCCCGTTCTCAGCCCGTATCCGTCAGCCACCTTGCTGGGGACACAAAGCAGCGGCAATCCCAAGGATGGGCATGCCCGTCCCCTGTGGCCTGGAGGGCCTACAGAGCCCTCTTGAAGAGCTGCACAAGCAGGTGTACCCCCGGGCCTTTGCACCTGCACTTCCTGCACGGAGACAAGCCAGGCCCCATACTGGCCCTAACCTTGCATCCTGTGCGTGGGGCCATCTTTAGATCAGCGTCTATGGAGGTGGCCAAGACGGGGACACGGGGCCGGGAAGGGTGAGGAGCCACTGAGACACGGGTGGAGGGGGAACCTGTGTGGCTCCCGGTGTACACGCCACAGGGGCTGAGGGAACTGAGGGCGCCTGTGCCCGCAGCGGGGCGCCCGAGTGCCCGGCGCCTGGGGTCGGAGCCCTCCCTCCGCCCAGCGAGCGCGCCGTGTTTGCAGGGGGAAAGGACGGGCCTGGACCGCCGTGGCTGCCACCCACCTGCTCTTGTCGCCTCCCTCGGGCTCATCCGCCTCGTCTGCACTGCAGGTGGCACTGGAGTCGCTGTCCTGGGGGGCGCCCAGGCCCTTGGCCAACGCGGCCTTGCTGCCGGCAGCCTCCTTCTTCTCCACCTTCACTGGCCCCTCGGGGCGGGGCTCAGGAGCCTCGGCACCTGCACCCCGGTCCGGGCCAGAGCCCTGGGCCTCCGCTGCCGCGGCGTCCTCAGCCTCGGCCTCCTCAGCCTGGGCCTCCTCCTTGCACTCGCTCTTGATGCTCCTGCCAGGACCCTCGGCGGTCCCCGGTTCCTCCACCTTCCCCATGTCCGGTGCAAGCTCCTCAGCCACAGGAGGCTTCCGGTCCTCAGCCTCATCCACCAGGGAGGCCCCGGTGGCCTCGGCCTCCTCCTCCTTGGGAACCACGGGCGGGGCGGGGGGCGGTGACGCGGGGGCTGTGGAGGAGCCGCTGGCCTCGGGGGTGGGGACCGGCCCTGCGGGAGCTGTAGCCTCCTCCGGTGCTGGGGCTGGAAGCTCTGTGGCCGGGGCCCCGTCGGCACCCTGGGGCTTGGGTCCATGCTGCCCCACATCCTTGGGGGCCTCGGCGTGTGGGGAGGGGACGCTCTCCGTGTCCGAGCTGTGGTTGACCGCAGCTGTGAGGGGCGGAGCAGAGCGGAGCTTGAGCCACTCAGTCCTCCACCACAGCCACTGCGTCCCCAGTGCCAGAGGCCCGGGGCCCCACCGAGCCAGCCCACCTCCCTCCACCCAGGCCAGAGTCGGCAGGGTGCTGACAGCAGACAGGACACCTGAGAGGCCCTCCCGTGCCCGCCCCCCACCAGGCAGCCGTGTGCACCTGCGCCACTGCATCCCCCCTGCCCTGCCCCCCACCAGGCAGCCGTGTGTACCTGCGCCACTGCACCCCCCCTGCCCACCCCCCACCAGGCAGCTGTGTGCACCTGCACCACTGCACCCCCCTGCCCACCCCCCACCAGGCAGCCGTGTGTACCTGCACCACTGCACTCCCCCTGGGCCGCCTCGCCCCCGGAGGCCGGTAAGGCTGGAAGAAAGTAAGAGGAATGAGAAGGCAGGGTGGCAGCAGGTGGGCGTGGCCATCAGAGGGGCGGAGCCGCTGAAACTTCCCACCGCGCCCCTGGCCTGTGGGGTTCTCCCCAGCCCACCCCCAGCCCCTCCATCTCTGACACTGCAGCACAGACGCTGGGGCAGCAGGGCCGTGGCAGAGGCAGGGGTGACGTGCAGGGGGTCAGCCTCTGCTCCGACGGGGGGAGGGGCTGCCTGTCTAGGGGTCCCAGGTGTGCCCAGGTGCAGGGAGGGCCACATGACGCCCCCTCCCCCACCGGCCTCACCCTCCGCCTCCTCGGCCATCTCCTCCTCATTCCCACTGGCGCCCGAGGCCTCCATCTCCTCGTCCTCCGTGGCGGGCGGGAAGGCCGCCTCCTCGTTGGCTGTGGCCGGGGTCTTCTTCTTCTTCCGGCGTGCGTTCCTCTCCTTCTCCTGGGGCACAGGATGGGGTCAGGGCCAGGCCAGCCTGGGCTCCCATGCCGGAAGCCTAGCCACAGCTGCGAGCACCACCTGGCTCGGGCCACGGTACCCAACCTGCCAGGGCTATTTTTACCAGGGCCTCTTTCTCCCCTTGTCCCAGAAACACCAGGCGGGAGGGACACTGCACCACGGCGTGCTGGCCAGGCCACCACGGACATCTCACCCACTCCCGGCGCCCAGAGGACTGGCAGATGTGGAAGCTGGGTGTTGAGGGGCGTGCTGTGTGCCAGGCCCCCCCTCACCAAGCACAATGTGCCCTGAAGACGTGGGACGAGTTGGCAGGGGGGCAGAGGCGTCAACTAGAGGTCAAGAAAGCATGGGGGGTCGGGGGGGGGGCTCAGCAGGGCAGCCAGGAAGTGACATCTGGAGCCGGGCGCCAGCGGCTCACGCCTCTCATCCTAGCTACTCAAGAGGCTGAGATCTGAGAATCAAGGTTCAAAGCCAGCCCGGGCAGGAAAGTCCATGAGACTCAAGTGGTAGAGCTGAGGGACACACTTGTGCCCAGGCCAAGTTCGAACCCCATGACTGACCAAAAAAAAAAGGATATTTGGGCCCAGATTTGAATGGAGCGGGAACTGGCTGGACAAGGCTGTATGTTTGTGTATGTGCACACACGTGTGTTCACACGTGAGTGTGTATTATATACAAAGGCTCTGTAGTATAAGATGTGAATGTTAACGGGACAGAAAGAATCCTGTCCATATACACTGGAACCCAGGGCCCTGCCCGCCCCAGTTCCCACACCTGCCTGTTCCCCGTCTTGTCTATGCTGAGCCAGCAAGCAGCTGAACCCCCCTAGTGGCCCCCCCACTTGAGCATGAGCGAGCAGGGCTGAATGGTGGGGGGCAGAGGGAGCGATGGGACAGGGTGGGAGCTGGGAGCCATGCAGAGCCGGGGGTCTGACGGGCCCTGGCGAGGCTGCTCTACGGTGTCAGTGACCCAGAGCACTTTGTGCCCCTGGGACCCACGTGAGCAGTTCATGGAAAAGGCCGGTGTGGAGGGGCAGGACTGTGACTGGCATCCGAGAGACAGCAGAGGCGGGGGGGGGGGAGACGCAGGGGCACGTCTGCGGGCCAAGGTGGGCCTCCAGGGGTGCTGTGGACAACCGGGCTCCAGCCTGCACTCGGGGACACGGGCGACGGGGCTGGGCACCCGGGGCTGTGGCCGTCTATCACAGGGAAGGCCTGCCGGCCCACCTGTCCCGGAAGCCGGTGTGTGTCACCACCAGGAGGGGGAATGGGGTCCTGGGCACGGCCGCCTCTTCCTCATTAGTCAGCTTCATCAGCAACGCTAGGCCCACCGACAAGAGTCTGCAGACCTGCCACAGGCTCATCTGCCACCATGGTGTTCCACGGTCTGGCCCCAGATCTGAGCGCCTCCCAGGGAGGATGTGGGCTGGGGTGCGCGGAGGGGCTGGAAGCTGTGCGGTGCGCAGCCAGGTCCCCCCCAATCCCCCTCCTCCCTGTCCTTAGAGGCGGTCTGGCCAAGCACCGCCCAGGCAGTGGTGGACAAGGGAACACGAGCTGGGAACAGCCCATGGGCCCTCCTTTTGGGGGTGGTGGTGTCTGTGAGGCTCTGCGCCCCTCAGAGGGTTTGCGTGGGTGACACCCAGAGCCCACTCTCTCCACGCGGGGCCAGGGTCTGGAACGGGGGTGGGGGGGGGAGTATGGGGGGAGACACACCAGCCTGCTCTCCCTCATCTGCGTACATCAGCCGCGGTAACTCCAACGCAAATCCTGATAGCTGACATCTACCACACGCCTCGCGGGCCAGGCCTTCCCAGGGGGTCACTGACCTCCGTGGCCACTCCGCACCGCCGTGCCTGCCGTGTCTCCAGGGTCCCCGCACATGGAGGAAGGTTCCAGTCCCCCATCAGGGCCGCCCTGGTCCAGCCCCGGCCCCATCCACCTCTCCAGGTTACCCAGAATGCCTGGCACAGGGGCTCTGCACTCTGCCCTTCTCTCAGACGGCCGTGGGACGCGCTGCCTCCGTGCTGGGTGCGGTGGGCCTTCCCAGGCGTCCCCCGACGTCCCTGTCCACACCGGCTCATCACCCCCACAGCACCGAGTGCTCTGTGAGCCCGGCCGCGCTTCACGTCCCTCTCACCACAGCTTGCCCCCCCCAGCGCCTGCCTGCCTGCCCCAAGGTCTTCAGCTCAGAGGCTATGGCGCATGCCCACGACCACGCAGGCCGGGAGTCAAGCAGCCTGATCGGAAGGCAGGTTCAAGCACTCCCCAGCCAGGTGGAAGCTGGCTTCCTCGTGAGGAAAGCGTAACCTTCGGCCACACGCAGGGGGAGGGAGACCTGGGGCGGGCACGGGTGCCAAGCATTACGTAACGCGCCACACTCGCCCGCACCCTCCTGCTTTCTGCTGACGTCCCCAGGTCTCCGTCGGCCAGGCCTGGGTAAGCGGGAGGGGACAGCACACGGTAGTCTGCCCCCTCCTCCCTGCACAGGGGCCTGGCTGGGGGTGCTGGCCAGGGCAGGAGGCCAGCTGGCACACACGCTACCAGGACACCCAGCCTCCGTGGAGCCCAGCTCCCGGGGCCCGCCTCGCTCAGTGCTCCGCGGCTCGGCACCAGTCCCATACCTCGGGGCTGTGTGCCGCCTGGCTGCTGGTGCCCGGGTCCCCAGGTCTCCCACGCGTGCCCAGAGTACGAGGCTTCTGACCAGATTCACACTGCAGACACTGCTGCTCCTCCCACCTCCAGCCCTGGCCGCCCCCCAGAGCTCCACTCCCCGGCTGGAGGCGCCCAGGGCGCACTCTGCAGCACCCAGGAGCAGGCCTGGCCTGTCCGCTTCGCCGCATCAGGGCAGCAGGGCTGGGCGCCCCGCTCCCCCTCCCTGCCCCGCTCCCCCTCCCTGCCCCGCTCCCCCCGGCCCCTAGCCAGGGTAGGCTAGGGTGAGCAGTGCGCCTCCCGCACCACGTGGCTCTTCAGGTCAGGGCTGCCAACAGGAAGCCTGGTGCTTTGTAGAGCACACCCAGAAGAGCCCCCAAGGAGTGGTGCTACCATCGTCCCTAATCCACAGGTGGGGAAACTGAGGACTGGGGGTGGAGGTGGGAGACAAGCCTGTAAAGCGCAGAGCCCTCATCATGGCTGGGACCCCGCACAGAGAGGAATCTGTGACAGGGCAGGCGGGGTGCTGAACCCCAGGCAGTATCAAACCCATGGGCCAAGTGGAGCACTGGTGGCTCACGCCTGTCATCCCAGCGACTCAGGAGGCTGAGATCTGAGGATTGCGGTTCCAAGCCAGCATGGGCAGGAAAGTCTGTGAGGCTCTGATCTCCAGAGAACCACCAGAAAACCAGAAGTGGCGCTGTGGCTCAAATGGTAGAGCTCTCATGTTGAAGCTGAAGAGCTGAGGGACAGCACCTAGGCCCAGAGTTCAAGACCCAAGACCGCCCAAACCTACAATAAGACAATAAACCTACAGCCTGGACCGTGACCCATCCCCGCACCGCTGGCTGGTGTCCTGGCCCCTCCTCCCCACCCCGAGGAAAGGTGGGCAGCGGCAGGCTCGTGCCTACAGTGACCAGCTAGAGGAAGAGGCTGGGAGGACTCGGGCTGTGCTGACCCGTCCTCTCCTGTGGGGCACGGCTGGCCGAGCCCCGCTCCCGGGGCCTCACAGGCACCCCCACCCCACACAGCAGTCTCTCCAGGCAGTAAGGCTCTGCTCAATCCCCAGGTGCCCTCAGGCTGGAGTCCCCACAAATGTGGCCGGTGTCAGGCTCAGCCTCTCCGGGCTTCAGCACACTGCTGCATCTCTTTTCCAGAACAAGCTGCACAACTTTAAATCCAGCCTGAGGCCACCCAGGGAGCCACGAGGGCCTGGGCCTCTGCAGCTGCCTGGTGTCACCCCGGGTGCCTTACACACCTGCTGTCATGATGCGTGTGCGTGGGCCCTGCAACTGCGAGGACCGCGGGGGGGGGGGCCTGCGTGGCAGCGCCCAGGGCTCCCCACAAGCTGCCTTCCCCCCACCTCCTTCCCAACCACGCTGTCTGGGAAGTAGGAAGACAGGCTTGGCTGGGAGTCCAGCAGCCGCCCCTCTTCCCTCCTCCAGGAGGGCTCATCCCCTCTCTCCTCCTCCTGTGCCGGCTGGGTGACCAGGCCCAGGGCCCGGCGGTGGCTCACCATCTTCAGCCGGTGCTGCTGCAGGATCCCATCCAGGTTCTGCCTCTTCTTGTAGTTAAAGTAGAAGTTCTTACACTGGGACACAGTCTTGGAGCCCACCATGCGTGCGATGGCCGACCAGTTCCGGCCATGTTCCAGGAGACCTGAGGGGCAGAGGGCAATGAGGGGCGCCAGCCTGTCCGTCCTGCTCCGCTCCACACGGCTTGGTGGGATGGACCCCGCCTATCCCGCGTGGGGCGTGAAGCCTGGCTGTCCTGACCCCAGGGATTTGCCTGGAGAGCCGGCCAAGCGCAGGGGAAGTGCCCTGGGGCGCAGGGGGGGTGGAAGTCAGTGCCAGGTTCCATGGGACACTGCCAGGACCCCCCATCCCTTTAGATCTGCACCAGACTCACAGGTCCTGTGGCCTGGCCCGCTGCCAGGGCTCCCCAACCTCGGGGTGCAGGCAGGAGCCCCCACCCACCTTGTTCAGGCTAGAGCTGCACAACACATTATGTCCTGAGGCCTTGAACCCCAGAATCAACAGAACCCCCAGGCTCAACCTTGAACCTGAACCCCAGAATCAACAACCCCCAGGAGGCCCAGGCGGGGCAGCCACTTGCCGGAGGGCAGGTGGTGGGGTCCCCGGTGTGGGCGGCTGGGCTAGACTAACAGGTCCTGTAAGCTATGCTTTTTAGGCCATTTTCCTAAATCAAAATCTGCAAGGAGCTGTGGGCCGGGCAGTGTTTGTCTTTTCTCAGCCATTCATCACTGAAGAGCCACCTTTTCTCATTCATTCACTCACTCAAGAGCCACCTTTTCTCATTCATTCACTCACTCAAGAGCCACCTTTTCTCATTCATTTGAGGTGTGGCCCACTACCCACAAAGCTCAGCAGACAGCCCCGAGGCAGAGGCCCTCAGGGTGTGCAAACCCTTCCCTTCCACTGCAGCAGGAGTCCCACCCAGGACATCAAAGCGACTGCCACTTGCAATGGGGGGGGGGGGGGAAGGGGACACCTGTCGCCAGCCAGAGCCCCAGGAGTCACAGGAGCCACGTGGCTCCACCCAGCTCCAGGGTTCCTCAAGGGCAGGGGGGAGGGGACGGAGCACAGCTCGGCCTCCTGACCTTTCCCGCCGCCTGCGCCAGCAGCAGCTGCCACATCCAGAGCGGGCGGACGGGGACGCGCGTTTATTTATATTTCCCAGCCTGTGCCAAACGTCAGGCCGGAGGGAGCTCGCCGGGACCCGCGGAGGGGCTCCACGGGGACCCGCGGAGGGGCTCCCACGGGGGCCGCTGGGGCTGGGAGGCAACCGTTCCAAACTGAATAAACAAATGAGGAGGTGTCTAAGAATGAGCTGTGGGGCACCTGAGGGAGGGCACGGGGCAGGGCAGGGCAGGTAGGAAGCTAGGACACATGGTCCTGTCTGCCAGGCGGGGGGTGGGGGTGGGGGGTCTCCTCTGGGTTAGATCTGGGAGGCCCTGAGGCTAGGGTGCCTGGCAGAGGGGAAACGCGGCCTCTGGTCCCTGGAGGCAGCCCTTCTCCTGGGGAGCCCCACTCCTGCAGACCCCTCACCCGCCCACACCCACAGCCCGGCCCCTGGGGTCACTCACATCCTCTCATGGGTGGCTCCCCCTCGGACAAGTTTTCTGGAAACATCCGGCGGGGCACGGGAGCGGGGAGGAGGTGCCGGCTCCTGGCTGGCGTCTGCTGGCTTGCAGGCAGCGCAGCTCAGCCCACATCCCGTCCACCCAGGGAGGGGGAGGAGAGAGGAGGGAGGAGGGAGGAGGGAGGAGGGAGGAGGGCGGGCGGAGGCTGCTCTGCGCCTGCCCGCGGTGGCCACCTCTGACGCGTACCCCAGCTGCCTCGGGGCGGGGTGGAGGGGGCGGGGCGGGGAGGGGCGAGGTGCCCTTCCCCTAGGGGCGGGGCGGAGGGGGCGGGGCGGAGCGAGGTGCCCGCCCCCACGTCCCCACGGGGGCGGGAGGCCACCAGCTGTGCGTGCTGGTGTCCTTGTACCAGGCGTCACCAGGGTGCTTGGTGCCCACGGCTCCTCCGGGCACCACTGTGCCCCGGGGGTCATCCATGAGGGGTGGCTGCCAGGAGCCTTGAACCCTCAAGTCTGCCTCAGGCCCACAGGGCTGTGGCTTGGCGGGCAGCCTCGGCCAGGGCCGAGTGTCACCTCCAGAGGGGCTGGCGGGAGGCCGCGGGCTGTGGCTCGGGCCCAGGGCCCAGCTTCGGGAGCGCAGGCCAGCTGGCCCTGGTTCCCTACCCAGCCTTGTCCACAAGACTCACACCCCGCAGGGCAGCCCGAGAGCTGCCTGGATGCCCCTCTACCCGAGTACCAGGGCAAGCACGGACGTGGGGCTGGGAACCAGGCCACCGCAGCCTCTGACACCCCCCACTCTACCCCCGCCCCCCCCCACACCTGCACTCAGCTCAGGGCTGTACTTTGAGCCAGCCACATCTGGGCCTGGCTGACTTCTGGGGTGCTGGGATCACTGACCGCTCAGCCCTCTGACCCCTGGCCTCTCTGTCTTGCCCTAGGAAGTCTCCAGAGCTGCCCAGGGCTCCGATCCTCCCCAGAGCCGGGTCCGTGGGGAACAGAGGGCACTGCAGACCTAGGAGGGAGACGGGTCTGGGCAGGCAGAGCAGGCCTGCTGCTGCCCCACGCAGCCATGGAGGCCAGGCCGCCTCCTCACACAGAAGCCTTCCCGGGCCTCCCGCGGTGCCCAGCCCCTGGGCACACGTTTCCCACACTTGCTCTGTGCGCGCATGCCAGTGTGGGGGAGGCGCAGCCCCTGCCACGGTTTGGGGCTCCGCAGGGAGAAAGGGCCTCAGGGCTTGCCCCAGGCCTCCTCACCCAAGGCAGGCTGGACAAGGCGGCCGGCCGGATGCCGCCTCTGCCAAGGGGCAGCCCTCCCCCCTCTTTTCACAGAGAAAGCTATCTGCACACCAAACCTTGAACCCAGAGCACCTCCAGGGGAGAAGTGGGTTTCTGAAGCCCCAGGGGTCTCAGGGTGGCAGCCGTGCCAGGCACCTGCTGCATGCCTGTCCCGCAGGCCCTCAGGCCTCCCCTCTGCCCGCCCAGGCCCACCCATGCCTCTCCAACCTCAGCAGAGCACTCCGCCCCCAGGGGCGCTCACCAAGCTGGCAGCCATCCTGGTGATGGAGGGCAGGGCTGTGCGCTGCCTCCAGCGCCCGCCCCCTGCCCCCCCCCCCGCCCACAGCCCCCATACGGCGTCCAGGCGGCTCCTGAGCAGTCAGGCTGGCCTGGCTCGGCGGGGGCAGCAGCCACCTGGGGGCCTTCACCCCTTTGAGGGACACAGACCGCTCTCCAGGAACTGAACCCACCACTCTGCCCTGCAAGCCAGACAAGTCTGGAGCTCAGCGTGGCTGCCGTGGTCCTGGTCTGGATGGACGGGGGCACTGGGCTTTGCTAGAGGAGGGGCAGCCAGAAGACCAGCCCTTCCAGCCGAGCAGGGACCAGGAACTCGAGGCTGGAGGACTGGCGGTCCTCCCTCCCTCCCTTCCTCCCCCTCTCCCTGCAGGGCACTTGGCGGGACAGCAGCTAGCTAGCTCCCTGGGGCTGTCCAATTCCTGGGGACGCTCGGTCTCCAGCCAGTGTGAGCTCGCAGGGACATCGGGCCCTGGGACCAAGGAGCAAGAAGGGTCTGGTGAGGACAGGTGGCCACGTGAGGACCCAGGCTGCGGGCAACAAGGGCCCCAGGGCACGGGCTGCCATGCTAGGCTGGGCAGCAGCACCCGCTCCCGAGGCCTCTGCAGAGGCCCACGCTCTCACTTTGAAATTCTGGTCTCCGGGAGGCAATCTGAGTAGTCTCCTATGGCCTGTGTCAGCCACGACAAATTCCCACTACACAGGCGCAGAAACCAAGGCCCAGAGAGGGCGGATGAGGTGCCTGAAGGCACGGAGCCAGGAGGCGTCCTGGCCCATGCTCTCTCCGGCTGCAGCCTGGTGCCAGGGAGAGCGCGCCAGGGCTCCGGAGGCCGGAGGAGCACGCCTGACACGGGCACAGCCGCCTGGCTCTTCTCACCTGGGTTTCTGAGTGCCAGAGAGGGGGCTCTAGAACATTCCTAGCCTCTCACTTCCCACTGGCTGTGGAGAGGGAGCGGGTCTGCGCACCTGCCTCCCGCCCCCGCCAGGCGCACAGCTGTCAGCAGCCACCCCGCGCCGTAATTGTCCAGATTGCTGTAATTCACGGCAGACGAACGCACGGTGCTCCTGGCATTATTAGAAATGTCACCGAGGAGCCGGGGCCGGCTCTCTGGCTGTCACTCGCGGCCAACTGCGTGGGCAGGAAGCAGCCAGGCTTGAGACAGCGCAGCCGGGAGCGGCCCGCCCCCTCTGCCCAGCCAGGACGGGGAGAGGGCAGCGGACGGCCTGCGGGGACAGCAGGCCCCAGGCCCTTGTGTGTGGCTGGAACCCCATTTAAACAGACAGGGACGGGCACGGGCTCTGCACCACAGCCAAGCCCCCCCATGACCTGCCCAGCCTAAGGGGTCAGCAGGGGGGGAGGGGCATGAGCGGCCCCGCCCGCCATCCGCCGAGACAGAGCCCATTTGAGCCTGCCAGGGCCTAGAGGGCCCAGGGGGCTGGGGAGTGCCCGCTAATGGCTTAGGAGTTCCGTTTGGAGCGCTAGAAGGTTCTGGAACTATAAGCTGAGAGAGTTGTGCAACACTATGGACTTATTTAAGGCTGCTGGATTATTCACTTTTCCATGGCGAACACAGCACGTCATGCATGCTTAAGAAGCAAGATTAGAGAAAACCGCGTCTGTTTCCACAGAGCCCCGTTCACACCGGCCTCTGAGGGCACAAACGGCAGAGAGGACGTGGGGGCTGGGGGGACAGTGCCCACACCGCACCCAGCCCCTCCTTGCCCCTTGAAGGCAGCCAGGCGGAGGGCAGGGGTCGTGCAGGGGTCTGGGGCTATTCCCGTGAGCAGCACTCCCGCCAGGCCCACGGTAACCCCAACGAATGCAGCCGGAACTGGGGTTTCACACCACATGCACCTCCACCGGTGACAAGCTGGCGCTTTGTACCCGACCCAAGGGAGAGACAAAGGGCAGAGGTGTGCGCCCCACCCACCAGGGAGTGAGGACGGGGAGCATGGGCCTGCCCACCCTGCCACGGGACCCCACAGCTCCCAGGCCGGAGGAGAGCTGCCCAGCCTGGCGTCCTTGCGTCCCTCCCACCGCCTGGACACCATCCGCTTTCACAGACACCACAAGGCCCAAGGCCCAGAGAGGGGTCATCACACTGAGCCTTGAAGTCCCAGCTGTGCGGGCTCCGGAGAACAGCCCGGGGCTTCCAGGAATCATGCGGGGTGCACTCCAGGCCCACACCAACTGCCATCCCACCCCGCCACGCTGGTGCCCACAAGATCACCTGGAAGCCGAGAACGGCTCCTGTTCACACCAGCACCTGCTGGCCACTCGCTGGGCCTGTGGGCCCGGACCCGCAAGACCAGAACCCGCGTGCGCGCATGCTCTGCACAAGAGCTCCACAGGCACAGAGTCCCAAAGCCAGGGAGGCCCGCCCTGGCCCCCAGCAACACATCCAGATCTGACACCTCGTGTGGCCACACACCTGCCCTGGCCCAGCCCGGGCAGCCCGGGGTCTGGGGCCACAGCCTGGCCAAGAGGGTGGAACCGAGGCTCCAAGGAGGTACGAACTCCACCACCCCGGCCCCCTCCGTCCCCAGCTGGGGGAAGAGCCCGCAAACCCCTCTGACGCCACCCCCACACCAGGGCACGCGGGGACCGCACACCTTACCTTTCTTGGCCGTCTCCATCTCCTCCTCCGTCCAGCGAGAGCTCTCGTTCATCTCGATGCAGGCTGGGAGGGAAGGCAGGTCGTTGGCCAGGCTGTATCTGGGACCAATGCCCCTCCACACAGTGGTGCGGGTCTTCTGGCCCCCTCACCGGCCCCCTCCCCACTTACAGCTAGGGAAACCGAGGCACACCGCTGGGCCCGCCCCGGTAGGTGGGCAGGGCAGCCATGGCGGACCACATGCCTACGGTGGGCTTCGCAGGGGTCTACGTTCCACTCCAAACCGAGGAGGGGCCGGCCCGGGGCGGGGGTCCCCAGCTTCCCTGGAGGGGACGTGTACTAGACCAGCCCCGGGGCCCGTGGCGTCACCTGGCCAGGGAAGACGGCCCACCACCGGGCAGCCTCCCGGCCCTTTGCCCGATTTCCCAGTGCCCCTCCTTCCCCACAAGGAAGCCGTGTCTACTTCACAGCCCATCGTCCAGTCAAGGCTGGGGCCTGACATGGAAGGGTCCCTCCACCGCCCCAGGGCAGCCCGGAGGACCTGCACAGGGCTTGGGACTGAGTTCAAATCCCGACTACACCTGGGACTCAAAGGAGACTGTGTTTGTCCTCTGGGCCTCCAGCAGCCTATCCATAAAGTGGATCTACACTGCTCTCCCTGCAGAGGGGACTGCGCACACTGCTGCCCCCGGTGGCCACACGGGGAGACTGCTGCTCCAGTCCCCCTACTGTTCCCTTGGAGGGAAGGATGGCCAGCTCCTGGCAGGAGAAACCCAGGCCTGTGAGGGTGAGGGTGGAAGTCTAGAGGCCGCCGGGCAGGGGCCACAGCCGCCACCTGGCCCACAAGCAGCCAGACCAATGATGTAATAGAAACAAAACAATGCCAGGTGCCCATGTCTCACGCCTGTCATCCCAGCTACTCAAGAGGCTGAGATCTGAGGATCGCGGTTTAAAGCCAGCCCAGGCAGGGAAGTCCCTGAGACTCTTGTTCCCATTAATTACACAAAAGAAAAAAACAGAAGTGCAGCTGCGGGTCAAGTGCAAAGCACTAGCCTTGAGCAAAAAAGCTCAGGGACAGTGCTTGGGCCCTGAGTTCAAGTTCCAAGAATAGCAAGAAAATAATAATGAAAGTAATAAAATTAAGAAAGATAGAACAGGTTGGCTCAGCGTGGCTGCTGGAGCTCCAGCTGTGGTGCTGGTCCCTCATGCTCTTCCCCAAGTGATTCCCCTCCGTGTGCTGCTAGGGATACTGAGGCACAGACAGGGAAGGAGCTGTAAGCTCCACAGCCGACCCGGGGCTCTGAACGCCAACTGCTACAACCAGGCTGCAGCTGCCGCAGTTCACTGTGATCTCGGTGCGTTTCTGTGCAGTGCCCGGGGGCCTACGCCCGCGGCTCCCGCTCTGGGGCCTCACCCAGCTCGGCGCTCTGCTGGGGGGTGGCGGCCTCCTCGTGGCTGGCCTCGCTGGCCATCGAGCGGGTGATGCGGCCCTTGCGCCGGCCCTGGCTGTTGGCGGTCTTGCGGCCCTTGGCGGCCACGGCCTCCTTCTCGTCATTGTCTTCCCCGGAGGTGTCATCAGTCTTCTCCCTGAGGGTGAGGGACACGGGGAGGGGGTCAGCGGGGTGCGTGCTGCTGCAGGAGGAGGGCTCTGCGGGCGCCCACCGCTATCTCATGTCTGGAGGGAGGGGGCCCCTGGAAGGGAACAGCCATGTGCTGTATGGCCAATTTCATCCTCCACGCTGGAAGTGCTCTCCTGCCCAGAGCTCCGCACCGCAGGCCTGCGGCCCTGGCTGATTCTGTGCCACGCCTCAGCTACGCGCCTGGAGCTTCGCGTCCGGGGCTGTGGGCACAGCTGCCCGCAGAGGCCAAGGTCTCTGGGCTACGGGGCTGCGGAGTCACTCGGGGTCCGCGCTCCTGCCCGGCCCAGGCGTGGGGTACAGGCTGGGCGCAGGGCGGAGCAGAGGCTTCTGGGGCGGGCAGGCGGGCGGCTCAGGAGATTTATGGCCTCTGCTGCCCATTCATCTTCCTGAAAGGCCCTGGCTGGAGCCAGGAGACAGAGGCAGCTGCACTCCTGGGCCCATCACACGTACCTGGCGCTCCCCCCTTCTCCCCCTCAGCTGGCTGCCCGCGCTCCCCCCCTTCTCCCCCCTCCAGCCTCTGGCAGGCGGGGCCCAGGGCCAGGCCTTGATCTGCAGGGGCTGCGCTGACGCTGACACACACAATTCTGCAGGTGGGCGCGCAGCTGGCATCTCCCGCGCCTGCGACCTCTCGAGGGGGCGGCGGGCAGAGTTCCAAAGCTGCTGCCTGATTTATCAGCTCCAGAGCCCGGCTCAGGCACAGAGGAGCTATGGGTCTCCCAGTCTCGGGGGGGGGGGGGGAGACTTCCAAGAGGAGGGGCCCACGGAGGCACAGGAGGGCTGCATAGGGGGACCAGGTGACCATCGGGCAGCAGCCTTACTAAGTGCCCTCCCCATGGCGGGGGAGGGGCGTGCGTGATGCCTGACGCGGGCAGCGCCTTACTTACTTGCTCAGCTCTTCCTTGTCATGGCCGTCCACCTCAGGCTTCTCCTCTTCCTTCTCGGCCTCCTTCTCCTTCTCCTTCTCCTCCTCCTGGCCCGTCCTGGCCATCTGCTGTTGCTGCTGTTGCTGCTGCTGCTGCTGCTGGGGGCGGGGAAGCGGGTGAGCAGGTGGGCGTGTGACACACGGGCACTGCCCCCGGAGGGAGGGAGGGAGCTGCTACTGGCCGGAAGACCGGGCAGCCGGATGCCTGGACGCTGCATGGCCTGGGGAGGCCAGAGCCAGTTCCCTGGGTTCAAATCTTGCCTCCTCGGGGTGGCCATGTGCCGACTTCCTCACGTTGATAATGGGGAATCTGGGGTGCTAGGGCGTCTGGCGGGGCTGGCCGCGTAGCCGGAGAACCTCACCGAGTGGGTGTTCAAGCGGGGTACAGGGACCCACTGCGGTTCACGCAAGAGCTAAGTGCTGGGGGTCATGGGGGTCAGGGCAGGGGGCCTGGCCTCCAGGCCATAAAGGAGGAAGTGGGGAGCCCAGTTCCCCAGGCCTGAGGGAAGACCACAGCCAGGTCAGCGGCCCCTCAGGGTCCTGCCCCGGGCTGGGTCCCCATCCTGCTGCCCGTCCCGCGGGGCAGATCCAGAGGCAGCCCGGTGGCCCAGGGCAGGAGGCGGTGCACGCACGCACGCACGCACGGCTAGCCTTCCTGGTGCCCCCCCACGAGGGCAGGGCTTCTCGGACACCCCAGGGCCAGCACATGAGGCTCAGACCAGGACAGACATCTCAGGAGTGCTGGGGGGGGGCTGGGAAGGTGCTCAGTGGTAGAGCGCTTGCCTAGCCTGCCTGAGGCCCTGGGTTCCATTCCTCAGCACCACATACACAGAAAAAGCCGGAAGTGGCACTGTGGCTCAAGTGGTAGAGTGCTTGCCTTGAGCCAAAGAAGCTCAGGGACAGTGCCCAGGCCCTAAGTTCAAGCCCCAGGACTGGCCAAAAAAAAAGGAGTGCTGGGGGCGCGGCTGGCAGAGTGGCCCGGGCTGCAGCACTGAGGAGAGCAGCCCCTCCACACGCAGCGTGCACCAGGCCGCCCAGACAAGGCTGGGCCCAGGGCCCAGACAGCACTGGACACAGAATGCGGGCCTGACCTGTGCGGCAACTGTGGGCTTTTGAGCCCACAGCTCTAGCAAACCAACAACCACCAGATCCTAGGGACTGCCGTCCCTTCACCGGGGAGGCGGTGCTCCAGCCCTCAGTGCCGCCCCCACCCCTGCCCCCAGCCTGAAGCCACCTGGAGGCCCTCCCTCCCCCGGGGTGGGGCAGGGGGGCAGGCAGGGTGAAGCAGGGCCGGCAGGAGCCCTTAGGAGGACTGAGTTGGAGGGGCGCCCCACTCCCGCAGCTGTGTCCTGCCCCGGGCTGCACATTCCAGTAGGCCCGCGGCTGGCGCTGGCAAACCTTCCCGACAGATGCAAGTCCCTCCATCCGGGCTGCCCCGGGGCCCCATGCCGGCCTGGGTCTGTGCCGGAGTGTGAAAGCAGCCATTAAGTGAAGACTTGGCATGGCCATGTGCCAATAAAACTTTACTGACAACAGCTGGAGGCATGGCTCAGGCTGTAGAGCGCATCCAAAGAGCAAAAGCCACCAGATACTGAGTTCAAGTACGAGTCTCGGACAAAAGCAAAAACAAAAACTAACAACAAAACTACTCCTACAAAAAAAAAAAAAAAGTTGGGCACTGAGGGCTCACTCCTGTCATCCTAGCTACTCAGGAGGCTGAGATCGAAGGATCACAGTTAGAAGCCGGCCTTGTAAGAAAAATCCACGCGATTTACCTCCAATTAAACAGCACAGGGCCGGGAATGTGGCTTGGTGGTAGAGCACTTGCCTAGCATGCGTGAGGCCCTTCACACCACATAAGCAGAAAAGGCTGGAAGCGGTGCTGTGGCTCAAGTGGCAGAGCACTAGCCTTGAGCTCAGAGAGGCTCAAGGGCAGTGTCCAGGCCCTGAGTTCAAGCCCCAGGATCGATACAAAACAATTAAGGAAAAATAAAAGGAAAACTTACAAAAGCAGGTGGGGGCCAAGTGGGGGGTGACCTGGGGGTGGAGCCAGATTGCGGGTGA